AATCTGCCTCGCTCTGCGGCGGTGGGAGCAGCCGGGTTGGTACCGCGGGCTCCGAGTGCTGCTGGATCCCGTCAGGATGAGCTCTCGCTGCGGAGCAGTGCAGTTCCCCAGAACAGCCCGTAGCTGGCACTCGGCACTGTCTGTTCAGGCAGCTGAGGAGCAGGAATCCAGTCCTCCCCCTTGCGCAGCAGAATGAAAGTTAACAAAAAGTTAGAAAGGAAGAAAGAAGTGGTTCTTTGCCTTCAATGGCTGAGTCTTGAGGTTGAGATGCTCGTGATTCTCTGCAGCGACGTGACCACAGACTTTTAAAATAGAAGTTGAGAATTCCAGGTGATTCGTCGAGACAAGATTTTAAAACCCCTTATAAAATGTTACAAAATATCAGAAAAATCATCACACATCGTGAGTTCCCACATTCACGAACTCAACATTTTTCCAATTGTAATTTGCACTTTTGGCACAGGCAAAGAATGATTTCTCTCTCTGTAGACTTTGCAACTGAATTTGGCAAACAGGCTGGCCCCTTCTTGCCCTGAATCTTGTAGAGAAGTGTGAGTCCACTGTCAGAACTCTGTGAACAGTTATGCTTCTGAGGCAGGAGCCAAGGCAGAGCCCAGCTCGATATCCCTGGGCTCAGCAGGGCTGTTGGGGGTATCAGACATTCAGAAAATAGTTTAATCAACAAAGTCACCAGGTGCAATGCTGTGGGACCCTGGGAAGCACAGCAGCAGAACAAGAAGAGCTCATTTTTAGACAGCTGCTTCTCTATAATCATTAAATATCCTAAATCAGAAGGGACACACAAGGATCATGAGTCCAGCTCCTGTCCCTGCACAGACACCCCAACAATCCCACCCTGTGCCTGAGAATGGTGTCCAAGCACTCCTGGAGCTCTGGCAGCCTCGGGGCTGTGCCCATTCCCTGGGGAGCCTGGGCAGTGCCCAGCATCCTTTAGGGGAAGGAGCTTTTCCTAAAATCCACTCTAAACCTCCCCTGGCACAGCTCCAGCTTTCCCTCAGGTGCTGTCCCTGGTCACAGAGCAGACATCAGAGCTGGCCCTCGGGATGAAGCTGCAGGCCCTGCTGAGCTCTGCCCTCAAGTCTCCTTCAGGCTGAACAAACCAAGCGCCCTCTGCCCCTCCTCACACAGCTCTAGCTCCCTCGAGACCCTTCACCATCCTCGGGCCCCTCCTTTGCTCTCCAGTGACTTTGGATCCTCCCGATCCTGTGGTGCCCAAAGCTGTGCCCGGGGTGGGTGGATTCCTGCAGGCTGGGACCGGCCAGGAGATGGAGCCCTGGACTCCGGGAGCCTCCAGCATCACCTGCTGTCCCGGGGGAGCGCAGCCTGGGCCGTGACAGTGACACCTCTCCTCAGGCGCCTGCATGCTGTCGGCATTTAAGTATTAAAAACAACCAGAAAAGGGATCAGGCTGCTGTAATCCGGGAAGGTCACCCGAGGCATGAAGCCTGCTGGAGCAGCACTACTGACACGGCTGCCTTTTGCATCAAGTCTCTGTGGTTTGGCAGTGCTGAAAATGATCCCCAAAACCCAAGGATCTCTTTGAATCCTTGGAGATGAATCAACTGTGTGCTCCTCCTGAGCCTCTGGCTTTATGCAGGCAGTAGAATTCCCCCCAACAGACAGGAAAGTTTTAATGCAGGCACTTTGCTGTTAAGCTGCACCTTGCTGGGAAAAGGACAGATGAATATCTGCATGTTGGCTTAAAGTTTTAGGTGAGGCAAATGAGGATGGCTGCTGCCATCACCAAATCAGGAGGGGCAGCGTGGCAGGGAGGGCAAGGCTTTACCTCACACCTTCCAGCTGCAGCGAGCACTGGTTAAACCATGGGTTTAACCATGGCAGAGATGGGGTGAGGTGAGAATTGGCTGGTGGAGAGCAGTTATAAAACCTGACAGCTATAAAACCACTCCTCTACTGATGCTCAGGGCTCAAATGTGCTGACTCTGAACTCAGCTCAGCTGCTCCCACTCCCCTGCACACCTCTATGGCGGGCTGCTGCTGCCTCACCTTCTGAGAGTCTTGCAACTGGGCAGCAGCTGGGGAAATCAGTTCCTGCCTTCTTTTGTGGGTGGTTGGGTTTCCAGTGGATCATCTGACAAAGGCAGTTGAGGAAAAGGTCCTGGGTGTGTGTGTCACTCTTTTCACTGAGAGCATCTTGTGCTGGAGTGGGTAAATGCAGTGAAGAGCTGTATTCTGTTCAGGTAGCAACAGGCCCTGCACCAGTGCAGGCACAGCTGGCACAGCTGGCATAGGAGACACTTGTGCCAGAGCCTGGATTTGGAGCTAACAGAGTCTGAACTGTGTTTCTGCTTCATGACATTTGCTTGCTGGGAAAATGCTGGCTCAACCTGGCACCCATGCTAAGTAACATTTCAACTGGTGCAAAAATTTAGTTAAAAAAGACAGGTTAAAATACTTGTGTGATGTGCAAGGGACTGTTGCTGGTACACAGCTCTGGCACCAGTTATTTTTGGGCCTGAAGTCCTGAGAATCTTGCACAGGTGAGATGTAATGGAAGTTAAAATGTCAGCACTCATTCACTGGTCAGGCTGACAGGTGCCAGGTGATATTCTGCAATCTGTACTTCTATTTTTCTGTGAGCCCAACTCTTAAACACCTGTCATCTAATAAAAATAACTGTCCAGGCACTGGGATCTCCTGCTGGGTGCCAAAAGCTCTTTGAAAGCCTGCCCATAACCCATTAAGGTAGGATTCCCTAGGGTAAAATTCAAGTAGACATCACTTAGCAACAAGAAGAGAAAAAAATTAAACCAGGAGATAAACTTAATCACTAATACACCTCCCCACACTTTCTATATTTATATTATATTATATTATATTATATTATATTATATTATATTATATTATTCCAAGAGCTGTGCTCCTCCTGCGTGCTGCTCATGGGGATCAGTGCTCTTTGCTGAACTGACACAGGAAAATCCTCCCTAGGTACACGGGCATGTTGTGGCTTAAACCCAGCCAGCAACTCAGCCCCACACTACTCCCTCACCCCTTCCCAATGGGACAAGGGAGAGCATTGTAAAAGTGAGAAAAGTCATGGGTTGAGATAAAGACCGTTTAACAGGGAAAGCAAAGGCCATGCAAGAAAAGCAGAACCAGGAATTCATTCCCTGCTTCTCCTGGGCAGGCAGGTATTCAACCATCACCAGGGCAGCAGGAGACTGTCACAGGTAACAGTTCCTTGTGATAGGAAAGGTGTGTGCTAATGTCTTTACACACAGTTCCACGGGTGAGGGGATGGGTGTTAATGTCCTTAATGTCTCTACCAGCTTCAAGTGAGGCCTCAGGTTTTAGCTTTTATAGTTTTCAGATTCTGTGCTGCTTTAGTGTGCACTTCTGAGCTTCATATTAGAAGATAGTAAGCTCTCTTCACAGAGCAGGGAGACAAAACAATTCCTTCTCTAGCTGGGGACCAAGGACAAATGA